GTCGACATTGAATGTTTTTTATTTACTTTTTTGTCATTTAGTTTTTCCATGGTTCAATTTTTTACGGATTTGTCAAAAGCTTCAATTGAGATAAGGATGATGTTTACACGAATCAAAAACAATGGACTATATTATTCTTTCTTAACATTATTTTCATTGTCGCGTTTTTCCTGCTTTTATTAATTTCCTCTAAAACATAAGTATCCCGTTACAATGCTTTAATTGAGAATTGATATGGATTTGATATTTCAACGATATATTTTGAAGATAAAAAGTCAATTTCTAAAGAAAACGAACATCTGCCGAACTGAATCTATTATCGGTCTAATACATTTTCGTTGTGTGTTCAATGTGGTGTTTGGTGCATGTAATAATACCATAATCGACAGATCGGGTTACCTCTTTTAATAAAAAGTCTCGCTATTAAATTACTTCATTATTTTTTTCTCACTACACAAAAATATAGATTAGATAAAATCAAACCATTGCCATGCCCCGATACCTCGTATAACAGTTGTTTAAATGTGTGTATAATTTCATAAATACAAAAACATCAGCTTGTGTGTGCCAGTCTTCATTAAAAATGTGTAACAAAAGACTCACTATTGCTTAAACATTGATATCCCATAGTCTATTAACGCTTATGTAACTGTCTTTTTACTTACCTAAACAATAAATCACATGATTCCGATTTGATGACATCAGTGATATCGAACAGTTGTCGACTATTCATGACAACCTGCTACCCTATCAAAATAAATGACGTCACCATTAATGAAGATACAATTCAAAATCAAGGACATATTGAATGACGTATTAAAACCTTTCGTGTCGAAATAAAAGCCGAGCCAAGCTTTTCATTTACTACATCTGGTAATTATCTAATATAGATTGAAAAAAAAATGATACTGTCATTTAAAAATTAACACAAGGCGGAAGTTTTTAATTGAAGGCATGACTAGCGTCGATATATTATAAAAGAACTATCGTATCCTTTAGTATAAATCCTCCTAAAAATAATTTATCTTTTCATTCTTTCTCCTTCTTAAGTACCTTATCCCCAATATTTCTTTCTCAGATGTGTTTTAGGGTAAACATGTATATCAAAGTTCCGCCGATTTCTAGAGAAATAGTCTTCTTATACTTACAATGAATGCAGGTCGCTGTTGACAACACTCAATATCTGCATATACAATGTATCATGAGCATTGGTATCTGGCAGCTTCCTCTATAGATTAGCGTTATCATTACATGTTGTTTTTCATTTCTATTAACGAGTGTTTTTTAAACTTACAACAAATACTAAATCAACATAATTATATTCTACTCAATTAGCAAATCGTGGTCAGTCGTTCGATATTTCTATCTAAATTGATTTTGACCGACATTTTATTTTTGGATTTTATTTTAAAATGTAAAAATGTACAATAAACTATTATCTAACATCAAATTTAAACTCAATCAAAATAAATTTGCTTCATATTTTGTAGTGATTGATTGATACATTTAAATAACATTTCTGTATTTAAAGGTAGGCGCGACAGGCAGTACGATTCCATCCATGCAAACATACATCAATACTCTGGTCAGAAATAACCAAACTGTTACGTGATTAGTTAAATTAGCAAAACAGCTGTAAGTTTTTTTTTTGTTTTTTTTTTAAATTGCAACTTCGGCATTAAAGTTAGCATTGAAGAGACAATTTATACTGGTCAGGAAATATTGTTGTCACCGAACTGAAAGGATTTAGCTGTTAAAGCTGTTTAAACGTAAAAGGTTTGTAATTATATGATGAGAATTCAGATACCTGTTGTTAATTACAAACAGTGTCTATATATTATTTATATACTGTTTAAAGAGGTGAAATTTCGCTGCAGTTTATCGTTTCGCCCTTTCTCATTAAGGGTGGAAATTAATGTTAAGCTAAAATTTTATGTAATGACTGAATTAATTTTTACGTGCATATAGGCCGAATTCAACTAAGGGCGAACACTTTTAATACGACGACGATACACCCCAGATTGGCTGTTTCCCAGTATACAGTAGATTGCTTTTCATTTAATGAATTATTCATTTTTTTTCCTTATTGAATCATCATCAGCATTAAAAATGTCATTTACACTTAGGATGTTCGTCAACGGTTCTTCTTTCCACGGTAGCAGTGTCAGGAAAGATTTTTAAAGGCTTACTGTATATTTGTTTTGTGTTATGATATGCCATTTTCTTTCTACCACCCTCGTATATATTATATAACAAGGACATTTTTTGTTATTTTGATATTATTTATAAAGTAAAAGCTGATTTAAAATTAAAAAGGAAATTTTATTTTTCTGTTTATCAATTATCTTTAGAGAAAAGGGAAAGGGAAAGGAAAATAAAACCCATACAAGTCTACAGAATTTTCGAATGCGAGGTCTCTCATTGATAAAGTTAATGCGAAAAAGTGAATCAGATTGAACTATATAGCTGTTTATCCGTTTAAGTCATCTCGTTAATTCTGCGGTTTATTAAGCGTTGAAATCTAGCTGGAACTTTAGTAATACTGACGGAACATTAGTTACACTTAAACCTAAAAATACTTCAGAAGTTACACTGACATTATGATTTAATCAATATGTGAAGTTTTGGATATTGGCTTGTCTTTTTGACACTGTGAAACATTTCAGGAAATGTGAACACCATCGAATTCGAAAACAAGTGTGTGTCTACACGGTAAGTAATGTGTAACGTTATTTTAATGAGATGTTTATACAACATGTGGTCTTAATTTGTTGTGTTGACAATTAAATGATGAATTTAAGTTTGATTAAACTGCACCATTCTCTCTCATTATTGAAATACTTCGAAAGCATTCATTTCATTTAAAGTTATCCCTTATTTTCTCTGTTCAATCTCTATATATAGGAAATAGTTGATATATTATTTTATTAGTACATCAAAAGATACAACAGTGATATATGATAATAATTAGTATGTTTTAAGTCTGTTTACATACGTGCTGTACAGGGATTACGTGGTCGTCTATGATGGTCACTGTAAAACGTGTTTGTCCCAAAATCTACAGACCCGCATGTGGTGCTGATAAAAAAGCCCACGATAACATATGTTTTGTTCACTGCCGGTAAGTGAATATGTCTATAATGTGAAATACTCTATAAGACTATATATTTTGAATTATGGCAGTCTATTAAAAAAATTTTCATCGCATTGTTTTTACAGAAATTTAAATACAGTCTAGATCACAAGACCGTGATATGGCGTCATTTTAGAAATATAGTGACCTACATTACGTCCAGTCTTTACACCTTGCATTAAAATGATAGACAGTTTATCGTTTTATTGATTTTTTTTTCGATGAGCATTATTTTCAGTATTTCCAATATGCAATAACAAAGGGGAAAAATCTAAATAATTTCATGACATAGACATATTTTGAAATGATATCTGGAATGTACACTGTATCTATGGTCCATATGCATATAATTTACATGACATGTCAATCATAATGATGTAATTGTAGCAGACAGACGTCATTCTAATTATCAATCGCACAGATTGTAGTCATCATCCAGTTATAGAACAAATAACACATAATCGTAGTATTTTATTTGACACGACGACTGTCCTGGAATCCCCAGCGGTCCCCTTTCCTTTCTTTATAATATGATGCTTTTGATTATGAAATTATAGCATATTGCGTTTAATGACTAATGAACATGTAGTGTTCAAATACTGCATTCAAACTCAAATGCTACAAAGTTTTATTCCGCAACATCATTCCTCATCATTCAGTATCAGCGTCTTGTATATATATGATGCAGATCGCATGTTTTGAATTCACAGAAGTAAAAATTAAACATACTGTGAAGTCATATATTTTCGTGGGAATTAATTTTAAGGTCTTTCAAATAAAGATCTGTGATTATTTTATTTCATGGATAAATAAAGCTCAAAAAAGGAACTTATGCTGATTTTAACAGTTCCTGGAGATATGAATTTTTGGATTTAGAGTAACGACAAAAGTCAACAAAAATTAATTCCCCACGAAAAATAAATGAAGTACAGTATACTCGGACGCTTGTAGCAAGATAAGCTGCCAACATTCAACCACCACGAGAATGATTTTACTTAAAATTTGTAGTATACGATCCCTTTGTGGACGGGCGACAAAAGTCTCATTGATTCCTTTTTGTCACACTCCATTGATGATTAAAGTCAAATGGGGTAAATAAGATGGTATTGGTAATTAAAATTCTAGTTACAGAAAGGTTCCGGCTGAGTGTGTCGGAGAGTGTCCATGTAAAATGTCTTGTAAATGCCGCAAACGTGTAGGTCGTGTGTGTGTGGAAATGATGGATACACATACGACAACAAGTGCCTGACAAAATGCGCGTGAGTACACGGGCAATATATGTAGGTACAATCAAGGTAAGGTTAAAAGATATACATTTACTATGAATGTGATAACTTCTTTAATATTCAGATAGCATTAGAAATTCTTTCTTCAAATAAGACTTGTCTTATGATAGGTAAACATTATGTTGAATATATTGAATGGAAAAGTAAGGCCGTAGAGATGTTCTCAATTTTGGAAAGGCGATGAATTCATACGATGAATAACGCATGCTTTTAGCTAAACACATATTTTCGATCTTTTCTCGTATAGATATTGACAAAATAAATGTACTCATTAAGCGATTCTGCTTCACAGGAATGACATTGAAATGAAAGAATTTATCTACATTGATATGGGCCAGGGATACAATTACTGTCTTTTACCCGTTACGTTCCTCTCTCTTGTGGTATATCAGTACGAAAAGCCGTCAAAGATAATGCACAAAACTCAAACATAGAACATTTTCTTTACGGAGGAACACCCGTAACCTGGCGTGGAATCTGTCCATGTGTTGGAAAGTGTTCTTGCCCAAATAATTACAATCCAATCTGTGGGAAAGACGGGCAAAATTACGGGAATAAGTGCTTAGCTAAATGCGCGTATGTTTCTGACCATTCACTCTATTTTATAATGCAGACTTGTCTAGTTATTCAATCAATCCTTTTATCAAAACTATTTACTACCATTCCTTATACTATCTGGGTTGCAGTATTGTGATATTGTTTACTTAAAATGTGGAATTAATATAACATTATTGTATGTGTATTTTAAAGAACTCCAATCTTTAACACCCTCTTCTTAAAAACATTTCTTCTATAAGAACATTTGATTTTTCCAGTCTGTACACCACCCTACTCCATTCTAAACTGAAAGAACGCCTTCGTTCTCCGGTTATGTGAGCTTTCGTTTCTGGTTGACAACTTGATCGTCGAGTTTTGTGGTAAGATCTTCCAACAAGCTGTTGGCATACCTATTGGAACTGACCATGCCCCTCAGTCGGCTAACTTTTTTTTATACGAGATTGAATTCATCCAAAAGCTTCTTCATCGGCCGTTTGTCTAGATCTTTGCTACAACGAAACCAGCATGGACAGCTTTTCATCAAGTTGTATGATAAACGTGATGATTTCAATTTCTCTATTGTAAATTGTCAATTTCTAGATATCTCCTTGTACTATTTCATGAACCTGTGTGTAAATCTTTCTTTTATTTCTATTTTATTGAAGTTAAGTTTTATTAAATTTGAGTTTGGATTACGATTATGCTGACTTATTGGAACTTTTCCTGTGTTTTAAGGATACTTTTTGAAATTTATGTGTGCTCTTAATAACTTAGTTTCATTCCAGATAACATTTTTCTTGACAGTTTGTATCGAACGTTTGCTTAAACTTTCTCCTTTTGTAATTATAGTCATAATCTAACAAAATACGATTATATCAAAGTATTGAATAAGTTATACTTAGTCGGCACTGTCACATGTTTGGCATATCCGAAGCATGGTATAATTTTGTGTTCATAAACATAACAAGTACATACATGTTGACGAAGTCTTCAGACAGATTGAAATTAAAAATGACTCAAAGAAACACTGACACTGATATTCTTGAAAAAGGACAATGACTTTAAAACCAGGTGTTCCGGAAGTTTCAGTGTTTATTGTTTCATCGACGACTCCCTTCATGTATATGGTTCCACCAAGAATGTTACGTCACCTTTCGAAACGATTAAGCGTGCTAACACAGGATTTTTGTAACACATAACACAGAAGAGCAAATTTCTTATTTTTTGGTATTTCAATACCCATGAGAACAGGACAAGACAAGACACGAAAAAAATGTTGATCATTTTTAACAATAAAGATCAACAATATCTCATTAAACTGCTGAATCATTGTCACAAATTGTCGCAACAGAATGTGGAACAAACGAAAACTTCCTCTACTTCATTTCACAGGAAGTTATCATACGCTTCGGTGCAGAATATACTGTTGTATCATACTAACATTGCATTTCGTTGATAGAGGAACGAAAATGCAGCGTAATAGAGCGTGTCCTTGCAAGAGCACGTGTCTTTGTACCAAAGATATAAACACGGTCTGTGATACGGAAGGCAAAGATTATAACAATATGTGGTTCGCACAATGCGCGTGAGTAGAATTACTCCAATTTATGTAAACTTATCAATAAGAATTTCTAGGCTAAAGAAGAATGTCTTTCCTATGGAATCTCTGAAACGTACATCAAATTTCTGTATAAATATTAATTATGTTCGGTTTTATTTTTCGTAATTTATTCTAAGAATAAAGCTTAGATAGTACCCACAAAACTAACAACCTTCGTATTATTTTCACGCGAGGGTAACGATTTTGAAAATACTTTTTAAAATGAAATTTTCGATTTAATGTGGTTATAGATCATGTGATGATATTTGAACTAAGTGTAAAATGTCAAATTATCCCCAACACAAAACACGATAGTTAAGTGCAAAATGGATATACGTTTGGAGCGTGGGGCAGAGCCTCACATTGAATGACAAAAACGATGATTATATTATAGAAATGCGAAGATAGCTTGCATGGAGAAATGTCCTTGTCCACAGCTCTTCTCCAGTGCAGGTGTCCTGGAGACGTTTGCCTGTATCTGGAGCCGACGGAATAACATACAACAACCAGCGCGAAGCGACCTGTGGGTACGTATAATATTGAAATATTGAAAAATAACAGTTTCATTCTTTCGTTAACGTCAACCGAATTTCTTATTGAATTAATATCACCCTCGGGCCACGACTTTTAAACTATCAATGATAATTTCATAATTAAGCATTCTCATTGGGGTATTTACTGTAGTTTCAGTTACAGATATCACAAAATTAATGACTAAATTTTCACTTGGCATTTGCTACCTGACCTAGGACTCATTTCCATTAGATTTGTTTGGTTTTTCAAATGGTAGATGGCAGACCTGCAACATATTGGCGATATTGAGGCACAGCAATGTCTTCGCAGATCAATTTTCCTCAAAAAGATGTTCATGTTCAATTACATATGTAAGTGTTAAGATGTTGATCGTGATGGTATGCAAAGGTTATGTTTCATTTTGTCAAATTATCCCGAAAGCAAGAATCCAATGTTAACAATTACCTATACTATATCTGTTATTTTCCTGTTAATAGAGGCGTGAATATTTTGTTTGATGGTAAATTTCCTTGCCTGTGCGTGTGTCCAGAAATATTTGCCCCTGACGAGCCAACGTACTCAAACCAGTGTGAAGCGCAATGTCAGTGTAGACAGGATAAGCCATTTTGTAACGATATCATGAAACACATTCTTAAATATTCCAAGTTATTTGGTTTATACAAAAAACATTCATTTTCAAATGCAATTTCTCAAATTTTCAAAAACAAAACCATGCAATATAATAACTTTCATGATAAGCGTACGTAAAAGACATATCACATCAATCTGATGTCATAGGATGTTGCAGAAATAAATACGAATATTTTTTTCTTCCAGTATAATTTTAGAGCACAAATAAATGGAATGTAAAGAAAATGTGATTTGGATATTATTGACAAGGCAACAGAACTGCCAATGCGGAACAGACAAGGCAGACTTTTTCATTAATTTCCATTCATTGATCTTTCATGGTATATTAAAGGCAAGAGGAACAGGGTGATGGTGTTGATAAAAGATAATGACCGTGTGATCATGCAGTGAAACACGGTTATAACGACTCCCAGGAAACATTAGAAATGATGTCATAAGCATAAAATAAACCAAGTTATGTTCGTTATACTCGGATTTTACTATATATTTATGATGTATATTTTGTCATCTACAACAACACTGGTGTTTATAGTTTACATATGTATCTAAAACTTCATACCAAATATTGAATTCTGGTTTAATTATACTTTTGAGGGGATGCTGTTCCCTTACCTCATACATATAATGAATAAATTGCATATCAAAAGTAAGAAACAAGTTTTTGGTTTTCGATTTTACAAGAACTCTGACAAGTATTTATGTGAATTGAATATGAATGCAAAGACCTTTTCAACTGAGTTTTGCCAGCTATTGTTTGAACAAGATTTTATAAGAATGATTTGACACCTAAATCAAAAATATCCTTTAGTCAATTTCTCTTTCCGTAATAGCTTTATAACGCATTTGTCGTCATAAAGCCTCGTAGGTATTGGCACAATAGAACAATATAGGCTTCCAGTCTCATCATGTACCTAATAGTGTGACATAACGCAATATATACTCAACAAAAAAAGAAAGGTTAACATGTTTCCTTGGCGAATACCTGTAAATGAGTGAAAACAAAATGACGTTTGTGCAATTTTAGAAAATGGTAATGTTTTACATTACATAATCCAAGGGGGTTACCAAAATCATTCAAGCGTAAAAGTCTGTATTAGCGAAAGAGCTGCATGAGGTTTTCTGCGACTAACTTGTATCTTCGCTTGACTTTCATAAACATTCAAACTGACAACTGTTCCTTAGATCCTTAAGACTTAGAAATCACCGAATCTTGCTATCTATCAACTTTATCATTATGCCACGGCTGTCACAAGCACAGAGCGAAAGGACTGTAGGCATGATCCAGGCTGGGGAGTCTCGCCGTCGAGTTGCACGGCATTTTGGTTGCAGTGTTAAGACAATTTGCCAGTTGGTAAGTCGTTTAAACCAAACTAGGTCAACATCCGATCGTCCCCGAAGCGGCCGACCCCGTAAAACGACCGCCATGGATGACCGTCATATACGATTAATACACTTGCGCAATCGATTCGTAACCGCAGTAGAGACTACAAGGACATTGTTTGGGCGTCGTGTGTCTCCCCAAACAGTCCGCAACAGGTTGAGGGCCTACCAATTGAAAGCGCGGCGTCCCTACACTGGACACAATTTGTTGCGACGTCACCGTAATAATCGGCGTAACTGGACCCGTCTTCACCGTCGTTGGGCCTTACGACAATGGAACAATGTTCTGTTTTCAGATGAGTCCATGTTTTGTCTGCAACACGGTGACGGAAGGCGCAAAGTGTGGAGGCGACGAGGGGAGAGTTTTGCGAACTGCTGCGTCGCAGAACGGGACCGCATTGGCGGCGGAAGTGTAATGGTTTGGGGTGGTATTTGTAGGGGGACTCGTACCAGGCTTGTTGTGTTAAATGGCAATTTAACCGGCATTCGATATCGGGACGAAATTTTAAGACCAGTGGTTCTGCCATTCTTAAGACGCCGTGGCGTTGGCGCCATTTTTCAACAGGATAACGCACCAGCGCACACCAGTCGCGTCAGCAGAACTTTCTTGCAGCAGAATAACGTACAGGTGTTAGATTGGCCATCTAAATTACCTGATTTGTCACCGATTGAGCATGTCTGGGACGTTCTTGGGCGACGCGTGAGAGAACGTCAAAATCAGCCGTCAAACTTGCAGGAGCTGGCCCAAGCCTTGATCGCTGAATGGAACAACATCTCTCCTCGAATTATCCGCCGATTTACGAGTTCCATGCGACGACGCAACAATGCTGTTTACTAATGTTACTAATGGTGTTACCTTTGAAATTGACCCCAACGTCCTTTACAGTCGAATAAAATCAACTGAACGCAAAGTTTTATAATGAACCATGACTGCAGTTTTATCCGAATTGATCAATTACTTTATTCGTACATGATTGGTAAGGATTTATGAAGGGTTAATTAATTAATCACAGAATAAAGTAGTGTTACCTTTCTTTTTTTGTTTAGTATATATTACAGAGGATATACCTGATTACTTCCTAAATATTTGAAAAATGAAAACATGTTTGTATTCTTGAAAACGCATGATGTCCTATCTAAAACGAGGAATATCAGAAACGATATAATAGAACACTTCAGAGATAAATATTTCCTTTCTACCAGCAGTTTTCCGTTTAGGTCTATTCAAAAACTGGTGGGAGTATATCAGGCTATGAACGCCTATCCGTTCAAGTATATGAATACATCTTCGGCGATAATGTACGGCCCATGTTATTTATCTTGCACCCGGATTGGCTTCATAACTGTATACCCTAACTGGTTACAGTAAATTGTTTAAATGGAAGTGTTTTATAGTGCTCTCGAATCGATTCTGTATTTACAATAATGTTAAATATTTCATACAGAAATGCAACGATTGCTTGTAATCGTTTCTTACTGTAAAAGAATTTGTTCGGAAATTTTCTAAAATATATGGAGGATGGTACTATCGTAATATTTATCTCATTGAGAAAAAATATATTGGTTTGTGGACGGATATGTAGCTGGACATGTTTGATAATCGTTAGTTTTCTTGTTATTTCCGTTGATGTACTATACCTCGTTCTCTTTTGAAAACAGACATTACTTACGTGGATCGACCAAGATTTACATTGTGGTTGTAGTTCTTTATTCAGAAGACGCTTACTCTTCCGGAACGCCTAGTATTATTCTTCTCGCACTTTTTTTCGACGGTTTCCGTGAAAATCATTCATTTCTCATATTTTGCTTTTGTTTTATTGAATTTGAGATTGGATTATGATAATTATGACATTGGTATTTTTCGTGTTGTTTTTGCACTGATCGAGCCAATTACAACGACAGGTGGGTACAACAAGTGTTGAAACATATACCAATAATGGTTACTCCAAACACCCCGATTTATGTATTAATGTTTACAGAAAAAAAGGCGTTTTCCTCTATCATTATTTTATTTGTGTGTGTGTGTTTTTTTTTACTACGTTATTCCATTATTATTAGCATGTGAATTACTCATTCGCATCTTGAATTTGCACTTTGCTCAGGAATATTCTCCTTAGTTTGAGGTCTCCCTCTTCCATGCAAGTGCGCTAAGGTGGTTTTTTTTTCCTATATTGTATGTGGGTGCAATCCCAATATGCTACTGCAAACACTGTCGGGAGAGCAACTTTTTTTTTTTTTTTTTTTGTGCGTTATGACTCTGTCTATTTACGATATCTTGCACGAATATCGTGATACTGGGAACTGGTCATAGAAGATTGAATGAATTGTAAACACCATACGGTTTGGTATGGTGGGATGTTGAAGATGTTCCTATGGTCTATTTGACCTGTTTTGATAAGCTCTTAGATCAAATCAACCAAATACGAAATATTTAAATGTTAAGCTGGTAAATTATTTGTGTGAAAATAATTTAACGGTACGCGAAAACAAATAGATTCTCCATATTTGGTATATGTATTAAACCGGCATCTCGTGAAATAAAACTTCGTTCTCTTGTATCAATTGCATGTCATTTTTACTAGCTTTCAAAATTTAGTCAGGATTGTACTTTGTACTTCTCGTGGTCTATCATCATGATGATAAACCTGGTTAACCTGATTTATTCATAGGAACGTCGGTGTTGTTCGCAAAGGCAAATGCGCTTGTCGTGTCTGTGCATGCCTGCCAGATCCAGAGTCTAAACCAGTGTGTGTCATCGACGGATCTCTAGAATAAGTCACATACATAAGAAAGTCTCCTCACACTGGCTTAATTATTTTTGTTTTTTCATGCTCCGTCAACTGTCTGATTCTTTTTGTACAGGAACATCAAGATTGCTTGTGAAGGAGAATGGCCATGTCCTCCCCCTTCCATTCCCCCTTTTCAAAGTACATGAGCTGCAATGTTTCAGCCTGTGTGTGGCAGTGATGGAAAAACATATCGTAACGAGAAGCAAAATGCGCGAACGTAAATTAAAATAAAATTCAAACTATATTCGTTTCTGAATCTAGGGTCAGGAAATGTCTCATCTCAATATCTTTGATTATATTTTTGTCGATTTACTCAAACTTTCAAATAAATGAGAGATGACACTACATGGAAGACATGAATTCGACTATAGATCTCCATGAAATACTTAACTTACGATTCAATTCATGATTCAAATATTATACAAAAGTCACATCAAATACAAACTTAAAATTAGATGCGGTAGCGCCAAATAAGAAATCAAAGTGCGTCATATCTATACAGATATTTCGTCCTTCTCAGTCATGTCTGTGCTACCAAGCGCCAACGTTTTGAAATTTGGCAGAGAACTTTGGAAAATCGGAATGGTTCGAAAGTTATATTGAAATGTAGATCGGGAAGTGCCCTAGTCCGAAAATTCAACTTTTGTGATAATTTTAAAAAGCGTCAAGTACATGTGTATATTCTAAACCGTGGCACTATTAATTGAATAAAACAACTATAGCTAAAAGTCCGATAACATTCTTATAGTGACAAAAATTATGTATTTGTTATATCTTGTGTTTTTGTATATCTTTGTGATTGAAAATAAAATTACTTAATACCAGTAGTTTTTTTTCAGTAATCATAACAAACACTATTCCCAATAAAAGGTTTTTTTATTTAGTTTCCACTCTTAAGATATTATGCTTAAGAAATATTTTATTGATTTATAACTCGAAGTGAAATTTTGGAAAAATGACATGTATTGACATTTTTTTATTCAAACGCTGTCAGTGTTTATCAGTATACAGCTTAACATTTTTACTACTATTGCCGCTATTATTTACAGACACGTGGCGGATGCTTGAGAAGGATATTGTCCTTGCGCTGTATGCCGTTGCCCTGCAGTATTTGATCCAGAGATCAGATAAAAAATACAGATAAAAAAGTTTACAATTCGACCATTAATTTATACAGAAAAAAAGGCGTTTACTTATTTTATTTTTGTGTGTGTGTGCTTTTTTTTTTTTTTTTTTTACTACATTCCCAATGAATGTCAACCTAGACCCTAGAAAAAATCTTCATGCGAATACAAATACTAGTTTGTTGAATTCATTTCCTAATTTTTTTTAAATAGATTGATCAATTTAGGTTTATACTCATCGTTTTAGAAATATGGCGATCAATTGATTAGTATAATTAACAGATTGGTATATAAAGTTTGATGTATAATACGTCCTTATCCCGATGCATATCATTGTTGTTTCTTGGTAAATTCTTGCACATGCGCATTTATTATTGAAACATGTTACGTCATCATCTCCCTGCATGTTTGTGTGCTAGTGTTCGACACCTTGTTTGGCAGTGATGTAATTTCACCGAAGAAGAAATATATAAGGAGAACGAAATCTTTAAATCTGATCGAAGAAATGATCAAGTTTCTGAATGAGTTTGGAAACAAGATCTTTCAACAGACTTTTTACAAATTTGTGGGAACTCCTTTGTTGGTTGCATTGTTCACGATTTCATATATGGTTGAATTTATCTAAGCAGATTACAACAAACTTCTTGCAAAAACCCTTCAATTTCAGTTTTAGGAATACAGATGGTTTCTTTTCTTCAATATACAGTTGTTTTCCGACACTTTTGAATACAGCAACAATATATGAGGCAGGCATACTCCGACAACGGCACTGCCAGTTGCAGGATGAAACTCTATAAGATATCTTACTAATTCATCTAATTCTAAGTCAAGTGGACAAAGAAATAACCAAACTAACCCTGTCGCTAATACCAATAATGGTTTAATGAATTCCATATTTACTAACACACTTTGTTACGTAATTAGTCAATCGACTTATCCACTTATTCAGAGGTATTGCAGTCAACTGTAATGGGGACTGTGATCAGTGCAAGTAATGTAGACACGTACGTATTTGTTCTATGAAATTAATGATCAAAGCTATCAACCGATTCTGGATAGTTGAATGTACTGTCACAGAAAAGCCGATATTTTTTCAATACTAAACATCTAAGTTACTTCTTACGACTGGTTCCAAGTGATTCACTGTAATTTTGAGTAAGTGTGCAATTTTGTCTTCACCTGAATTTTTGTGTATGACTGCCACTTTTGTTCCAAGTCTCCTTGTATGTTTCAGGAGCTGCCATGGAAGGACATGTCTGTATGTCAAAAAACGTTCTATACGTTGAAACATGCTGTCAAAAAGATTCAAGAAAGATAAAATGAACATACCGAGCATGTGATAAAGTTTCAAAAACCTTGCTGTCGTGTTTTTTGTTTTTGCTTTTTGTTTGTTGTTCTTGTTTGTTGTTATTTGTTTGTTTGTTTTGCTAAGTTTCTAAGTAAACAAACAATAATATATACAACAATGTGTAACAATAAACTTCTCGGTTTACAACAACCGTACAGCAAGCAATTCAGTATTATATTAATCACTCGTATTCGTATTGAAACGACGAACGGGCCTTAGTGGGAAGGAAACCAAGGCTCCTATAAAGACAGGTACATTACCTCTGTGCATACCTACCATCCTCTCTTATATTGTATGTTATTATTTTTCAATTTCGGATGCCAATTCCATACGATAAGGCAATATTACTCATATGCTACGGATTTTGATGAAAATGTTAAGTTAAGGAAACGATATGTCTAAATATAATATTATTGTTTATAAATTTGTTTACATTCAATAAAAAAGAACAGACATTGTTTTCTGTTAGATGTTTATTCGATATCATATTTGATAGAATAAATCTATAACATTTTCTAGAAAATAAAGACTACATCTATGCTAATTCATTTTTAAACATTTACAATTCCACTGAGAATGCCCATTTATAATTTCAAATAGTGACTCACGTAAATATTATCACAGGTTTGTTTATAATTTATTGCAATAAAATAAATTAATAGCACATAACTTATAAATCACCACAAAGTATACAATATACGTAAAATAAGCAATAATACCACAAATCAACTAAGTACACGGAGGGTAATAAAACAATGATGTGCAGAACAATAATTAGCAGGAATTATGCACACAGGAATGGTACCACACGTATAAAGACACAATAACCATGAACATTGATATTTTATTAAAATCTAAACTAGTTCCATTTCATCATCATAAAAAATATATAAAACGTATTTGTTAAACGTAAAAGAATAATAACATATCAACACCATGAAAACTTAGTTTTTTAATGAATAATACATTGATATAGCAACCGATTCTATAAATGTATAATGCAGAGTAGCAACGGAAGAAAGAAGAAAATTATACTTTGTAAGTAAATATTTTTAGATTTTTTTAACTGCATTTGTACAATACCGCATAACATTTGGTAGAAAAAGTTTAAACCTTACAATAAGTCGGAGTAAGGACAACACTTATACAACTGACGTTTGGGTCTTTAAAGATTTTCAAAAGTCGCAAGTGAAAAACAACTTTGAATACTACATGAAAATAAGACAGAGTAAGATCAAATAATTAATGAAAGCAATCGTACAGTGTTTTCGTCCTTCAAAGACAAGTCAGTGATGTTAAGGAATTGTCAGAATATACATGTACTTGACGTTGTTCTAAACTCATCTGATATGTGAAAATTTAATGGACATGCCATAATAACATAACGAATTATCATTATGTTTAAGCTTATACAACCCAAATGTTAGACTGTTATGTTTGAATGTTAGGGAAAGTTTGAGTAAAGGAGGGAGATGGATATGAACAGACGGTCCATGCTACATGTGCACATATATTTCTTTCACTGATACTACCCGCGATGAGATTCGAATTTTGTATTTGAACATCTGGTTACAAATAAAAGGAAGGAGAAAACATTGGCACATATTTTGATTATCATTATTCAAATCAACATCAACAGTCGCAAACAGGAGTGCTCAGAAAATAAATTTTGATACGTCAATACCAGACCGTGGAAAGTCAATACAAACTAATTACTGAACAACCCTGTCACACCACAGATGTTAAACTTAGTGAATGACTGCAAGTTACTATCATTTCAAGAGAAACAACACATTACATACATTTGGCCAAATTCTATGAATTTCAAATGTTGTCAAGAACACAGTTTTAAACGAATTCCTGGTTATGCAAGTATTTTCACAAATTTTAATTTTTAGGTCAGACGCTTGAAATGCTGCTAAGTTTTTGCAAACCAATTTTCATTTTTGAGGATTGAAAATCTGAAAATATCCTTTTGTGAATATGAAGCACTGAAGGGAAAATGTTTGTGTAGATTTATTAGGTCTGACACTTGAAATAGGTAAAGATGTTAAGATTTTGCAGACCAATTTTCATTTTCGAGAACTGACAATCTGCAAATATCCTTATGTTAATATGAAGGGGAAAGGTTTGGGCAGATTGAAATGATAGAAAAATGCTCAACACTGTTCAATTGAGGAAGAACTACCATGTAATATACTACATGAAGTAAGCTGAAACCATTGGGTTGTTTTCTTCACATTAATTGTGTTAATGTACTTTAAAATCTTACTTTCTCTATGTCTTATCTGTTGTAATTAAACAAATCGACGTTATCATAAGTTTAAACAATATGTCATAAACGTATCTCAAACATTTGAGGAAGTGGTTTCTTGTTTTTGAAGTATATTAATACTTTTTAATCTTAAACTTTCTCTCCATTACTTTGTCCTATCTCTTCCGTTGTAAAAGCCTTTTCTTCTTCAGTCTTTCTCTTCTTCCTCCTCTTCCTTTTCTTCTTTTTCTTTTTGTGTC